TGACAAACCAACAGCAGAAGGACAGGCTGCTGTTAGGAGTGAATAAGAAGAGAAGGAAGACTGATCTGTAGTTAAGAGAAGTTCAAAGGTGGGCCTAAATTCTATATGGTACCCGAGAGAGACAGAGACAAGAGTAGCTGCTTTGGCTCATGTTGACTTTCTGATTCCCAGTTCCCGTGGGGCTGGAATGTATTTGGTGAAATTTCCCTGCATCTTTTCAATTATCCTATATAATAAAAGCCTACTATGCAAATTGTCCCCTCGGGTGGTCATTGGACTGGAGACCGGGAATTCAACCACTCGCTATGACAGGCGCTGACCACCAGGGGATGATGTGGAACATGGTGGGCAGCGGCAGCCTGGAGCTGGCTGCTGGCAGAGGGTGGCAGTGGAGGCACTGCTGGCCCCGATGGGTCCCAATGAGCACAGGACCGTGGTGGGATGGTGGAGCAGGTGAGCAGGAGGTACCAGGCCAAGGTGGGTATGAGTGGGGCCCAATTTCCCCGCTGATCACCCCACAGATGGCGACTAGTGACAGCAGAAGGGGGGGGGGGGACCACCTGGCTCCCAGGCACTGATGGAGTCAGGCAGGGGGCCGGCCCCAATCAATCACCCACAGGCTGGATGGTGGAGCAGGTGAGGAGGCAGCACCAGGCCAAGGTGGAGTGTGCGGTGGGACTGTGGGGGTTGGGGCTTTGAGGCTGGGGGCACGAGCTGGGCCCGATCTCCTCAAGCCACCCTGAGAATTCGTGCACTGGGCTCCTAGTCTTCAATAATCTTTTCAATAATGAGCAAGTCTGAGTGGCTATCCGTCCAAGGCTTAGTTTTCTTGCCTGTACAATTTCTCACCTGATGGGCCAGCAAAGCTCAAAATTCCGTGCTAGCACAATGCCTTTATGTTTGATCCTATAGCTATGTGCTCTCCAAGGACGTTAAGAACTCCCACTGTTATCACATTGGTGCCAGGGAAAAAGCAAAGACTCAGAGAAGGAAAGCTGAGGCAGGAAAAGAATGAGCATCTGTTGACTCATATCCCCACATCCTCCCTTGGCCCCTAGTCCTGAGAAAGAAACAATCTTGGAACGTAGCTTTTGCTCAACACAGGAATCAGAGCAACTGGGGCCTTGCCACCACCCTTCTGCCAGAACTCAGGCCAGATTATGCCTGCTGGAAGGTGAAGCCAATGTGGCCTTTGAGGCATAAGAATGTCCTAGAAAGGAAGCGTCTTAGGGACCCCTGTTTATGTCCAGCGGGAAGGGCTTCCAAAGACGAGAGAACAATGGTGGATGACTGCCCTGCTGGTTGGCAAAGCTAACAAAGCCGCTGAATCACTCTGCTCGATTTGTCCCCGTTGATCAACGGAGAAAAACAGTCCTTCCCTGGATGGGCCCCAGGCACGCTGCTTGATTCAAAAATGTCTTCCCTGACGCCATGCGGGGCTCGCTCTGGCTGTCTTTGACTTCTGTCCGCCATAAGAATAGGCTTGATCTCAGGGCTGAGTATACACCCTCCTCCTCTAATCCTCTTAGCTGTTGCTTATCCCCAAGTTCAAAGAAACAACTAACAACATGAATTTCCACTACCTATGAGCACCACACTGGAAGGAGGGACACAGGGGCATCCTTCCGTAATGACATTCCAGGATCCTGGTGGTCCTCTCAACCAGCCTTTGTCTTTCCCTGACCAGCAGCATCAGCAACTCAGGGAGGAGCCTACCCAGGATCAGCCCACTCTCACCCTCCACCCACATCCTCTGTCGAGGGGAGATCTCAGCTATTGAACTCTAGGGAAATGGACAACCGCGTAGCCCGTTACTTTAGCCATGAAATGGTCAAAGTATCTTCTACTTCATGGGTTCTTTCCATGTTGCAGTAAAATGATACATGCAAAGTGCATGGCCCAAAACCTGGTTTTTACTGTTTACTAATTCTCGATTATCTTCCATCTCTCTTTAGACCAATAAGATGACAGAGCACTGGCACAACCACACCTCCAAAATGCTTGGTAGTGTTATGCACCCCGCCCTGCCCTCTCAGTAGCTAAGGTCCCGGGCAGAGGGCTCTGATGAGCAGGCAAAACCAGAGGTGGCTGGATCTGTCTATGGACATTTTAGTCAAGGGACTTCCAGCCCAGCCAGAAGGGGGCACAGGCAGAATCCTGGCTCCTAGTGGGCAAGGCCAGGCCCTGGGGAGCGAGACTGGTGCTAATTGGGACTGCTGCCCCAGCAATTCAAGTGGAAATGCCTCAACACACCCACCGAGTCCCAGGGTCAAAGGCATCACAATGGGGTCTTTGTTCCTGAGTTCAAAAGCCTTCCTCACCCCTCCTTCCAAAACCAGCCTGCAGGATGCACATACACCTCTCTCCCACCATCAGACACTCAGCTCCCTTGATCTGGGAAACCACCCACCAGAGGGTCTGTAGCTTGGCCCTCTTCCTTTCTCCCCTCCACCCACTCAGCTTCTCTGGTGAAACTGGTCTATAGTCCAGGCTGCCTGGCTTTCTCTCCCCCCCTCCCTCCCCCCCCCCCCCCCCCCCCGCCCCAATCCTCACCCAAGGATATGCTTTCACTGATTTTTAGGAAGAGAAAGGAAGGGGCGGGGCGGGGAGAAACATTGATTGGTTGCCTCCCTGATGGAGAATGGAACCCACAACCTAGACATATGCCCTGACAGGAAATGGAACCCACAACCTTTTGGTGTATGGGATGATGCTCCAACCAACTGAGCCATCCTGCCAGGGCCAGGCCTCCTGGTTTGATGGCAACAGAGAGCGTGGGTTTACATGGTGAACACAGCACGGCAAGGCCCCTGAGTAAACATCGGCTGCTGAGCAGCTGTCTCCGCCAAGGAGAAAGGAGTGGAAAAGCCGCATTTCGGGAGCCTCTCCCACCTGACACCCAGGGCCCGTGGGAGGCTCCCAGCCACGAAGGAGGGCTCAGGGGGCTCATCTTCTCTAGGCCCTGGCCCCACGCAGTCACCAGATTATGTCCAATGTACAGAAGGCACAACTGAGGCCCAGAGGGATTAAGGGACTTGAAGCTACCCAGCCAGGAGTCAGTGGTGGGCTTCCAGGGACAGCAGCTCCCTCAGAGGGCCTGTGTGCCAGACTCGGCTGCTCTATGGAGTCAGGCGGCCTGAGCCCCCTCACACAGCCATCTGCACCCCTGAGAAGAGGAGGTGCCTCTAGGCCTTCCCAGGTCTAACACAGAACCCCGACTTGGGTCAAGGCCCTTCCTTCTCCTCTCCTAGGCAGGACTCCCTGGGGTTCTGGGATCCCAGATGGGATGGAAGGCAGAGGACACCATCCCTGAGAACCAGGGAGTCCTGGGCAGCAGCTGGTACCCATTCCTCCTGCTGCTCCAAGGCAGCGGGGTGGCAGAAGGGTCCCTAAGCCAGAACTCGACGTCTGAGCAGACCTGACCTTATACGGAGAAATGGGCCTGCCTTTCTCTGGAGCAGCAAGCTCCAAAACAAACATCTCTCTCCCCAGCTGGTGTCTCTAGTCCCACCAGCAGAGATCCCCTGCGTGGGGTGCAGAGGGTTCCCAGAGCCAAGGCAGCTTCCTGGAGGTAGGACTGGCACCAGAACAAAGGCTGAAGGCAACGCTGGGCAGGAGGACCCCTGTGCGCCCATGGGGTGAGGCCCCCGGCCTTACACTCAGGATGTGGCTCTGCCGAGGGGGCCATGGCTGCCATCTACCTTGGAGATGACTCCAGGCACAAAGGCAGAGCCTGAGGTCTCTGAGAGGGAAACAGGCATCGAGAACCCCAAACCCGGGAGGGTCATGGGTCAGGCCTACGCTGGCATCACAGCCTTAGCTCCCGGGAGGTCTGCTGGGATTTCCTTAGCATCTCCACAGCGACGTGCTGCCCACCAGCATAGAAACCAGGGGCCCAGGCACACGCCTGTTCTGTTCTGCTTTTGACCTCAGATGACTCACTTCCCCTCAGATTTCCTGGGTGTCAGTTCATCTGTAGCATGGGCACAGTCATCCTTTGGCCTGCCTTCCCTTCAGAGCTCAGAATAGCGGGAGGGAAATGAGCAGGACAGGAAAAGGAGAACAGGCCCCGCCCCTCTGGGAGAAGCCTCCAAACACAGCCCGGAGGTGCACGGGCCTCCCCTCACAGCAAACCGAAAGCAAAACACAGCCCAGGAACCAATTCCAGTCCTGCAGGCCCTGGGCAAGCAGCTGCCCAATGTCCTGGGCCAGAGTCGCCCCTGGTCCTGCAGGAGCTGCACTCAGACTGGACTCCTCTCTCCACCTACAGAGGCTCCTGCGGCCTTTGGTCCACTCAGAGAGCACCCTGGAACCAGCAGCGCCCCCCTCCCCCCCGACAGCCCACGTCAAGACAAAGCCTCAGCTCCCAGGACAGGGCAGCTGCTGCAGGACCCTCCTGGGCCTTCCTCCCGCCTGGGCCTTCTTCCCAGGTCCTGGCTGCCTTCAGCTCGGCAGGGGGCAGTCAGCTCACTGCCCAGACACCAGCCAACACCCCCCCACACACACACATACACCCCGCCCCCCAGGCCTGGCCTATCCTCAGACAACACACTAGGGGCTCAGGACCCTGGACTCACAGTGACATCATGGCCTGCCTTCCCCCACCCCTGCCTGGACCTTGGGGAAGCTGCTGGAGGGTGTCCCCTGAGCTGGGAGCTCCCTCCCCAGGGACCTCCGAGGACACGGGGACCTGAGACGCGGGGCGGAGAGCCGTACCCACGCTGCCACGCCGGCCTTGCATTAGCGCAGCCGGTTAAGCACCCCGAGCGATGGACACATTCTTTCACCACCAGGCAAACTGCTGGCCTGCAGCCCAAACCAACAGGGGAAACTTCAGCCTCTGCAGCCCGCTCCCCGCCAGATGGAAATAACGTATAGCTGCGGCGATGGGGGAGGAGGAAGGGAACAAAACCAGCCGTCCGGTGCGTCCGAGGAGCCGCTGCCCGCCCGCCCTCCCCCTCCAGCGGCTGGCCGGCCGACCGGCCGGCTGGGACACTCACCGCTCTCGTTCTTCTCGATGACATCCACCACCTCCCCGGCCTGGAGGCTCAGCTCTGAGTTCTCCTGCTTCTTATAGTTGGACACCACCACGTACTGTTCCAGGATCATGGGCTCGGCGCTGGTGTCGGCACCTGGCGAGGGCAGAAAGCACGCGGTGAGCCAGCGGCCAGCCATGGCCCCGCGGCCGGGGCGCCCCCTGTCCATCGGCCTCGGGGGAGGCTGCTCTGTCGCCAGCGCCGCTCCGGGGGGCTGCCCGCAGCCAGGGTTCGCGGCTCGCTGGGCCCCAAGGACAGGCCATATAGCAAGGCCCCGCACCGGCCCGCTGCACCGCGGGGGCCGGGGGACATGGGAGCCGGGGACGGAGGGAGGGAGGGAGGGGGCTGGAGAGGGACCGACAGAGACAGAGATGGAGACAGAGACAGAGACGGAGGCCAAGGCAACTCAGAGGGAAAGCCTGCTGCCGGATGAGTGGGTCACAGCCCGGCACGCGGGGGGCAGGGGAGAGGCCTGGGGCGGACGTGGGCTCTCCAGACCCCTTGGCGACAGGGGCGAGCGGGGAGGACGGCGGGTGGGCGGCCCATGAGGGCTGAAGCCGGAGCGGAGGAGAGAGAGAGAAAGAGAGAGAGAGAGAGAGAAAGGCAAGGCGAGGAGGAGGGCTCTTGCCTCTCCCCTGGCCCCTGTAAACCCAGAGAAAGAGAGAGAGAGAAAGAGAGAGAGAGAGAGAGAGAGAGAGCGAGGAGTCAGCAGTCCTCCCCTCCGGAGGGAGAGGGAGAGAGCGGGAGAGACTGGTCTCCACAGCTGGGCCCAGGCGAGAAGTCAAGAGGGTTTGAGGCCGCCAATCACTGGGGTTTACTCGCAACCCTTAAATAGAAACACATGAGACCCATCGAATGAGGAGCCGGGGGTGGAGGCAGGGGAGGGGGAGGAGGGCCGAGACTGTTTACTTGAAACCCAAGAAGCAAGCCAGCGGCAGGCCAGCCCAGCCCGCGCCCCCCCCCCCCAACTTTTCCTTACGTTCGGCTCCTCGCCTACCCCTTGGGCTCACCGGGGTGCTGCCACCAAGCCCAGGGCCTGGCACGCACGCACCAGCCTCGGGCCCGCTCTCCCAGACCTGCTTCCAGAGGCCAGGCCGCTGCCCACGGGCCACGTGGGGACTGACTCAGTCTCCCTCGGCCTCTAAGTGCTGGGGGGTGTGGTGCGGCTCCCACAAACCTCCAGCTGCCCTCTCCTGGCAGCTCCATGGAGCTGGAGGGGGTCAGAGGTGGGGGTGCTTAGCAGGAGGGCAGGTTCCGGAGCTGCAAACAGCCTCTCTGTCCTCCTCAGCCACTTAAGCAAACGTTCATTAAGCAAACACGGAGCCAGGAGGTGGACGTGCTGCCCCCAACGCTCCGTGCTTCACTATTACCACCACCATCACTCACAACGCCTAAGACAGTGGTCGGCAAACTGTGGCCCTCGAGCTGCGGTTTGCCGCTCCTGTTGACGAATGAATTTGCCGACCACTAACCTAAGACATCAGGTGCCCCAAGGAGCTCAAAGGATCCACAAACCAGAGTCCTACGGGTCGCCTCCCGACCCTACAGGAGTTCCTAGCACCTGAAGCTACTTGGCCACCGCTCGGTACGGACGCCGGCCCCTGCGAGGCTTCCCAGGCCCCCGCGGTGCTCCAGCCTGCAGCCTCGCTCCCTCTGTGCTCGAGTCCAACTTGCCAGTGTTCTGTGCCAGGCATGTACGCCGTCCCAAGTCATCCTAACCACCACCTCCTCACCTTCCCACTTCACAAAAGACAACTCAGAGGCCCAGAGAAGCCGCGAGGCGCGTCCCCGCTCACACAGCTGCTAGACAAGAGCACCAAACTCACTGCTTTAGGCTCAAGCCCATTTCTCTCTCCATCACCGAACTGCCTGGTTCCTGTTTCCAGGCATCCCATTCTCCTAGCACAAAGGTCCTTGGCCTGGCCTCACCAAACCACCCAGGGAGCTTGTAAGGAATACAGATGCCTGGGTCCCACCCCCAGAGGCCCAGATTTCATTGGTCTGGGGTATATTTCAGACACCCCATCTTCCCCTGGTTCTCCTGTGCAACCAGGGGTGAGGAGCCCTGCTTAGATCCTTGGGTCGTTTGTGGCCGAGGATCTACCCAACCTAGGGCAACACAAGGGAAAGAAACCCACTGCCCCTGACAGTTTTCTCTCAGGATCCTCCAACTCCAGCTCAGCCCTACGGAGACCCAGAAGGCAACCCCTCCAAAGCCAGGATTGTATTTCAGGCAGAAATGCAACCAACAGCGAGGCAGCTGGGCCAGCCTGGCTCTGCTCTCAGACGTGGCCAGCAGGACAGAGGCAGTGCTGGTCACAGTGCTGACAGAGACCACCTCCCACCGGGCCCTGGGGGGGACACCAATGCTTCTGTGGCTTAAGAGCATCCGTCGCAAAGAGGATGTAAACTCAAGATACACACAGAAGAGGGGCTCTCCAGCAGCAGGTGAGCGAGCTTCCAAATCCCGAGAGCACCCGGGCCACACCCAGGATTAACCATGAGCCTCTTGAGTGTTCCCACGTGGGTAGCACTGCGTCAAGTGCCAACCGCACGCATCCTCTCGCCGTCCGATTTGATCCCCATAACAACCCTACGTGGCAGGTCTGGTTGCAGCCCCATTTCACATACAGGCAGACTGAGGCTCGTGGGAGTAAACACTGTTCCTGAGGTCACATGGCTGGAATGGAACCCAAGCCCACCTAACACCGGGTGCTTGTGTTCTGAACGTGGGCGCCGTGCCTGGCCTCCAGAGAGACCCCGGCCACTGGTTTCCACGGAAGGGCCCGCCTCATCCTGTCCCGGACACCTGGCACACAGTCGGTGCCTAATAAAGACAATGATTCTTGCTGCATCTATGGAGCAGGCCGCAGTGTCCGCTTAGATCGTTAGCACTCAGTACACTTGTGAAATGAATGGACAGGCAAGACAGATAGACCAAGTGACTTGCTGGTTTGTTTTGAGCCAAGACAGATACACCGGGCAGGGCCTCGCTTCTGACATTTGGGAGAACTAGACAACGAAACTGTGGAGAGGAGAAAAGGCACAGAGGAGCAAGGGGTTGGAAGCTGCCAGGGAGGACAAGCAGGGGTGCTGGGGAATGGAGAGACATCAGCTCATTTTCACTGGAGCCAAGGAAACCTGAGACAAGATTTCGGAGAGGGGAAAAATCTACATACCCCTTCCTTCCCCCAGCCCCTTGGAACCCTGGCCGGGGCTTCCTGAAGATCGGCACTCTGGGGTACAGGTAGGAAGGGTAAGGGAATGTTCTCCAGACATTCCAGAGCACACAAGACAGGCGGTGGCACTTCTGGGAGGCTACGCCAAAGGCTGGGGATGGACAGATGGACACACGGACACTCAGTGCTCCTGGCTACCCTCCCCTCTCTCCCCTCCCCCCAGCGCATGCTGGCTCCAGCGTGCTCGCTCTGGCATCTGACTCTCAGGGTGTTGGCTGCCCAGGGCTGCCCGGGTGGGCGTGAGCTGGGAGCAGGTATCCAGATGAGAAACTACTCGGCAGGCGGGCGGGTGGGTGGGTGATGTCATCCCGCAGAGGCTGGATCTCCTCCCAACCCAGGCCTGGAAAGTGAGGGGCTGGAGGGGTTGGCCCCAGAAAGGAGGAGAGAGAGGCAGTGGAGGGAGACTCCTGTCTTCAGATGCAAAGGGTTTGGCAGAGACTGGGAGAAGGAGTGGGCCCTTCTGGGGTGGGGAGCCCCTCCCAGGTTGGAAGGGGGCTTTGTCAGAGTCCCATCCAGGGATGGGCCCTGTGCCTTCCCCAGAGCCCTGCCCTGCCTCACATCTGCACTCCTCCGGCTGCCACCTGGCAGGACCGCAGGCTCCTGCCCGGGCTTGGCTGCCAAGGTAAACTTCTTAACAAGGCTTTTGCCAAGTCAACCCCCTGCTCCAGCGGGTCCCCGTGGCTTATAGGAGAAAGGCCAAACTTGAGCTTGGCCTTTAGTTTAGTCTTTCTTGACAACGTGAGCTCCCCAAGTTCCCTGACACACACCGCCCTGTTCCAGGCAACATGCACCGTTCCACACACGTGCCTGGGGCATTGCTCTGTGCCAGCCGCCCTGTTCTACATAGCTTCTTCTTCCCGAGCCTTTGCAGTAGCTGCACCCCCACCTCCCGCCCCTCACACACCCCCGCCCCTGGCCTGGAATGCCCTTCTTTCAACCAACCCCAATGGTGCCCAACCATCTGCCTCCAGGAGTCGCCGGATCGCTCTCGCCGTCGTGCTTGCTCCTGTCCTGCACTGAATGTTTTGTGTGACCCTGCGGCCAACCAGACCTCGTGCTTTAGACAAAAGTCTCTCTGCTGAGAGTAGATGCCCCAGGACGGGTGCCATACCACATGGCTCAGGACACAACAGTTACCTGAGGTTTATGACACAAAAGCATACGACTGGAGTCTTAAGGGTCTGAGGCCCAGTCCTGCATTGCCCCCACTAGCTCTGTGACCCTGGGGAGAACGCTTAACCTCTCTGGGCTTTAGTTTCCTCATCGGTAAACAGGAACAGACCTGTCTCGTGGGGCTGCTCCAAGCACGGTATAAGGTGACGGGGTAATGCCCTATGCAAACTGTAAACTGTGGGTAAAGCCAACACAAGTGGGAAGTTCGGGGAGGAGGGGAGGGAGGTTTAGGTTCCTCTGAAGCCTCAGGACCAGCAGGCAGCTCAGGGCAAGGGCCACAGGGCCAGGAGAAGGGTGGCCAAGGCTGTGTCCCTGCAACGTGACCCCCTCAGTCTGGCCTCCTGGCAGGCAGCAAGTCCTGTAGAGCCGATCGGAGGGGTTACCAGGTGAAGCAACCCCAAAGACCTTACCTCCCGCTGAGTTTTCTGTCTCATCAAATACCCCAACATTCCAGATGGGGAAACCAAGGCCCACAGAGACCTGGTGACTCACGCCAGACTCTGAGCCTGGACTCCAGTCTGGCTGGTCTCCCCACTCCAACCCTCCGCCCACCACAGCCTCTCTCTCCCCCAACAGCTGAGCTCATCCTAAGAAGCCAAGCCTTGTGGTGGCCCCTGCCCCAGGCTCCCCAAACTCTCCAAGGCCCCCCCAAACCCTGGACATCCCACCAAGGTCCCTCTCGTCCCTCTCCTCACCACTGGTTCCTCCCAGCTGGACTCGGCCTGCCGGCTTCTCCACAGGCCCTGGGGCGGCCAGGCTATACGTTTGGTGAATAAAATGTATTGTTGTGGGCCAAGTGGGCTCGCTCGGGCTCGCTGGCTCGCGGAGAGGGGAAAAAGGGACAGGAGCCCAGTGATTAGCTCAGGCCCCGGCCCGCGTCATAGGCAACGCCAGGAGGATGACTGCAAGGGGCTTGGGACAGGCAAGGGGTCCTCCTGACTGCTGCCTTCTCCTGGGGCCCAGCTCACAGATGTCCACCTCCTGTTCCCGGCCCAGCTGTGGTGGGAGGGGCTGAGCCTGGGGCTTTGACCCTTGGGGCTGGCCCAGCTCCCTCTGACCTCTGACCCGCTCACTGCCTGTTCCACAATCTCCAAGCCTGAACCTCTGCTCTCAGGTTTGGGCTGAGAAAGCGAGGGTGGGGGATGGGGAGGTGGGGGGGGGAGGGACCCTCACCCTCTGCCTGCCACTATCCAGTAAGATCCAAGACTAAAGGCAAGCCCGAAACCATGGCCCAGCTCTGCCCGGACAGACACAGGGCACAGTTCTAAGTCTCCGAGGGCCATCCTGGGCCAGGCAGCCTGAAGTGTGGAAAGCCTCCGGAGGCTCTGCACTCCTAGGGCCAGGGGCTATGACCTCCCCCAAAGTCACAGGCCTCCCCACTTCCTGCTGCAGCTCCCTGCGCTCTCCAGTGCGGACCGGTGGGAACCAGGCTTCCGCTCCAGCCTCAGGTGAGCTGCCTGGAGTGAGATGAGTAACCCTGGGCTGGCCCGTCTCACAGGGACGGCCCATTGAGCTAATTGTTGACGATGATGGTAGGGGCACTCTCAGTGTGCCAGGCTCCCCAGGAGGTGGCACTGCACCCACTTGGGGTGGTCACAGAACCCCCCCAGGGCAGCACAGCCCAGGACGCAGCAGAACTGGGGTTCAAACCCACACACTCTGGGTCCAGAGTGCATCTGCTACACACGGAGCTTCCGAGGCTAGACCTGAGGCCTAACAGGATGGAAAGGCAGGCAGAGTCTAGGCAGCGAAGGAGGCAGAGAGGATGCCGGGCGAGCTGACAGAGGGCTGCTCCGTCTTGCAGGAAAGCATGCGGCAAGGGGCCGGCAGCCCTGGCTCCTACACACGGACGCCTGAGGCGCACATGGCACACACATGCACTCGCATGCACACTGGGCAGTACCTGTGACGTCCTTTTTGGGAGACTCAGCCCAGCTGGAGAGCCACACTTCCGAGTCCCCGAGAGCAGGCGGCAGCGGGAGAAGAGAACCAGAGGAGAGAGAACTGTTAGGCAGGCAGGAGGTCCAGCGGGGCGAGTGGCTGCAGGCACCCGTAGAGCAGCTGGCGGAAGGCGGGGGAGGGGAGGGGAGTGATTTCCTGGCCCTGGGCTGGCTGCTGGGCGTGGGCCGGCCGGAGTGATTACAGCGGCAGAGGCCGGCTGGGATGGGGATAATGAGGTGTCTGCCGAAACGCAGGCATCCTTTGCAGCACAGAGAAGCCCACACAATCCTCGCTTGGATCAGGGCCCGTGGGCTGGGTTGTGACTGCCCTGGAGAAGGCAGCCTGGACCTTTGTCGTTGGCCCGTGGGTGGCTGGCCCCACACGGCCATGTGGCTCCAAGGATCCTCACTGGGAATTCAAACATCAGGGTTGGGGAGCCCAAGGCCAGCCTCTAGGCTGGGGCACCACACCACTGGCCCGGATATCTTCTCTAGCCCCAGCCCCACCCCCTGAGGAAGACAGACAGGCCCTGGCAGAACAGAAAGATGCCTCATTGTAGAGCCTCACACCTCAACTCCAATCCAGAACGGGGATCTTTAGTGACCAATAGAGATGAGGGCCCTTTTCCAGGAACAACTGGTGGTTCGGTCGTTTGGTCACTTAGGCTATTAAATCTATAGATTATGAGGCAGAAAGCTCTTAGCCTAACCAATGGTGTGAACATTTCTAGCGAATCAACATGGACCGTCCACCGTGGTGTACAGCGGCTCATTTACTCCCCACGACAACCCTCGAGGTGGGTATGCGTTTTCCACCCCATTTTACAGGGAAGGAAAATGAGTTCGGACCAGGGAAGGAACCAGCCCACATTCCCACCAGCACAGAGCGGCAGAGCCAGACATGGAAGCAGGCCTGGGAACACTCTGGCCGGGGCTTCCTCTGCTGAGCTGTCCATCGCCGCAAGGAGCAGCAGGGGCAGTGAGGAGGGAATGTTGAGATGCACGTTGAGACACAAACCCTTCTGCGCACCCTCATACAAACATTGAGATAGAAACCTTGTACTGCCCACCAGCCCCGGCCAGCACTGCTGCCTGACCCGGTAACAGCAGCAAACGTTTACACAGCATCACTGTACACCAAGCATCGTGCTGAGCACTGACATATAGAACTCATTTGTTTTTCACCATAAACCTGCAACGACACGGTCTTCCCTGCATTTTACTTGTGGAAAAGATGAACTAGAGAGGTTAAATAACTTCCCTGAAGTCCCACAGCTGATAGTGTCCCTCTCCCGTGGGTACACGGACCTCAGGTGATCAGTTGGCCACTCACCCCTTAACCCACCTAACTCTCCCTTGGTCCTTGCTCAGCTTTCCGAGGCTGTAAGTGGGGTGGGCCAAGTGGGTCTGAGTTCAGAATGGGGACTTGGTTGCCGGCCGCCACATCTTGCTGGGGCTCTCACTTCCTGTGGCCGTGCGCCAGGTGGGCTGCCCCCCAGCAAGGCCGGGCCAGGCCGGTCCCATCACCATCTGGCCCCACCCAGCCAGAGGTTACCCACATCTCTCTCCGTCTCTGCTGGCCTTATGTGGCACACCTCCCTTTTTGGTTTCTTTTGGGATCTTCCAAAGGAAACCTTTTGGGAAGTGCTAACCCCTCTCAGTGAGCCAAGGGAAATGATTTGGCCTGGGCCTGGAGAGCCCGTTCTGCCAGAATAGGAGTTGACAAACTGTTTCTGTAAAGGGCCAGAGAATCAATGTTCTGGGCTTTGTGGGCCATGTGGTCTTCTGCCGAGATTACTCAACCCTGTGAGTGGGCAGTATGCCAATAAAACTTTATTGACAAAGCCATCTGTTGGGCTGGGCAGGACCTGTGGGCCAGTGGTTTGTCAACCCCTATGTCAAAGAGGGGGAATAGCCCAAAACCCTAAGAGAGAGAAGTGGGGATCCTCAGCCCACAGAGACTAAATGCCTTCAAGGTCTTGGCTGCTAGGAAATTTTTTTTCAAGAATCATCTCAAGGAAATAAAGGTTTAAAAAAAAAAAAAAAGGATTATCTTGAAGGATCTTCTACCTTTCTAGGCCTTTGGGGTTTGGGCATTTGGGGCAGACAGGAAACTGAGTCCCTAATAAGTGTGCAGCCTGAGCTCATGCCATGTCCCCCCATCCCCATACGCAGGCCTTTCCTTCTCTCCAAAGGAAAATGGGAAGCGAACCAGAAATGAGCCTCTCCTTTTTTATTTTAAAAGTTTTTTAAGCCATGATTTATTTCCCAGTCCCCTGGACCCGCAGAATTAATCCAGTTCCATGGTTCCCACCCCCCACATCCCCCCTTTGGAGTGCCTGCTCTCCAGCCCACCCGAGCAAGCTGTCTCCCAGGGTGGGAAGGACCCCCTCGGCCTCATTACAATGAACAGAGAACCCCTGGCTCGCAAACCCCAGCCCTCCAGCCAGGAGGCAGACAAGGCTGCTGGCTCGGGGCTGGGAAAACGGAGACAGTGAGATGGGGTGAAGGAGCAAGAGGCAGGCGCGGCCAAATGAGCAGCTGTGAGTGACACAAACCAACTGCTTCCTGCCCTCCCAGTTGTCTCTCCCTCCCTCCCCTCCTCGGGTGACAGAACCAAGGGCCCTACAGAGCGGGGTCACGGAGTCTGGTGGAAACCAGAGGCGGGGGGGGGGGGGGGGGGGAGCATCAGACCAGGGAGCTGCACCACTGATTTTGCTGAGAACTAGCTGCATGGCCTTGGGCAAGTGGCCTGACTTCTCTGGGACCCAATGCTCACATCTGTGGAATCAAGCATTTGGGCCCAGGGTCTCCAAGGCACTTACCCCTCTGATGTTCTAGACTCTTCCCGCAGAAACGTGCCTGGCTCCACACTGCGCGTGCACCGCAGCGGAAGAGCCTTTCCAGAGAAACAGGCCGCTGTGCCAGGGAAAACCACTTGAGCACATGCTCAATATATAGAAACTCAAGGAAAAAAAGCAAATAATCCCGGAGGTGCAGAGGACGGAGAACTGGAGCAAGAATTTATTTTCATCTTGATCCTTGTCCTTACTCTGCCTCCCTCCCCTTCCCACCCCTCCCGCCCCCCTCCTCCCCGAGATTCTGGGCACTGAGCGAATATCTGAGCCTCCTCTCCCTCTGTAACAGGAGGGTGCAAATCACGATCTTGTCTTTTTGGCAGAGCTGTTTTAAAAGTGAGATGGCCTAATGCCTGTGCAAGGTTTTGGAGGGGGACCCAAAGGGGCGCGGACGACAGGGGCAGAGCTGGTGACTAAAGGAGTGTGCGCCTGGGAGACGGGATCCCTCCGCTGCCATCCCAATCACCACTCTTGGCTTGCAAGACCAGTGAGAACTTAGGCCCAGAGAAAACCAAGTGCCTGTACCTCCTGGCCAAATACAGCTGAGGTCACTTAGAGGCTGAACCTGATTCTCGTCAGGTACCGGTGATTATGAAAGGGAAAGGGCCATCCTACAGGTGCCGCTGATGTTAAGGAAGTCTTAGAGCACTAGTTAAGTATACAATTTTACCTAAATGTTCCCCAAAATTCTAGTTTAGCACTTCTTAGTTGGGATTCAGGAATCTGTAGTTTAACAACTCCACCAGGTGATTCTCATCGTGAGAGAAGTTTGGGAAACATTGAGTAAAAACCCAGCATAGCCCTAAGTCAGGAAAGAGACTCTTATTGGTTCACTAGAGGCCCGGGGCATGACATTCATGCACTGGGGGTTGGGGTGGGGGATGGAGAGTCCCCTCAGCCCCGCCTGACTGATGGATATCCTTAGTACTGCCAGACATGGGAGAGACTCCCACCACTGCTGCGGGGCTCATCGGCCATCAGCCTGGCTTGTGGCTGAGCAGTGCTCCCCCTAAGGGAGGCACACTGACCATCAGGGCGCAACTCCTACATTGAGCATCTGCCCCCTGGTGGTCAGTGCACATCATAGCGACCGGTTGTTCTGCCATTCAGTCCATTTGCATATTATCCTTTTATTATATATAGGCGGATAATAAGATTCCTTTTAGCTGTGAGTAACTCAGGGCAATGAGAACTGGGTTCAATTTACCCAAATCTAGTCTCAAACTATGTTTCCAGGAATCCTTCCTTCCTTGGTGTCAAGCGAGTTCCACCCATCCAAACTAATAAATCCAGAGTGGGCTGAGAGCCCAGGTGGGAGAGACCGGGGTGAGAACAGCCAACAGCACAAACTCCTCAGAGAATGAAAGCAAGCCAAGAGCTCAGGGGACCAGGGCAGGGTCACCCTCCTTATCAGCTTACACAGCCCCCGCCCTGGGCTCCAGGGAGGGGAGGAGAAGCAGAGACCCTGCCAGGGCCCCCCCCTCCCCGAATAGAATGAACACACCCCCACCCCCTTCTGCTCCACCAACATCTCAGAATACTGAGCGCTCGAGACCTCTCCCTCTGTGGGAATTCTATTGTTCTTACCTCATTGCAGCCTTGAACTGATTTCTAAATAACTGCTGTACTCTATTCTTTTCTCTCCTTTTGTACTGCTAAAGCTTTGCACAGGACTAGATTTCTTAGGTTTCCCTACAGACTCCAGGTGTTTCTTTTTCTTTCTTTTCTTTTTTTTTTTTTTTTTTTTGACTAGGCCACCAGGAAACTCAGCCACTGTGTTTAGGCCAGTGGTCGGCAAACTTATTAGTCAACAGAGTCAAATATCAACAGTTCAACGATTGAAATTTCTTTTGAGCCAAATATTTTTTTCAACTTAAACTTCTTCTAACACCACTTCTTCAAAATAAGACTCGCCCAGGCCGTGGTATTTTGTGGAAGAGCCACACTCAAGGGGCCAAAGAGCCGCAGGTGGCTGGCGAGCTGCAGTTTGCTGACCACGGTTTTAGGTCATTGACTGATTAGGGGCTGACAGCTGCTAGCCCTGTTATTTAAAAATGGTAACAGGCCCTCCCTAGATGGTTTGGCTCAGTGGATAGGGTATCAGCCTGCTAACATAGGGTCCCAGGTTCAATTCCTGAGTTGCAAGCTCG